AGAGTGAGAGGCTTTCTGTTACTAAATAAATCTGTCTTGCTTATTTGTTTCTTGGTTACAATTCCCGTATAATGCTCATTTACATTCTAGGTAGGTACGTGGTGATATGAAGCCGTGGAAATAGCCGGCAAAACTGCTTAGGATTATGTTGAAAATGCTGGGAGAGAAAAAGCAATTAATCGTGAAAAGAGACCTTTACACTGACCCCACATTTCCAGCCAGTGATACCTCTATATTTTTTGATTATTGTACCCCGCTTGCTCAATTCAGAGGCGAGATATCTTGGTTGAGACCTAAGGTGAGTTTTAAGATATGAAAGCCCATGATTTTAGCAGAACTCGACTTTAAGGTAGACTAAAAATGGTATTTTGCATTGAACGACTGCTTCTGTGTCTTTTTATTGTTTAAAAATATAGAAGTGATAAAACGAGTGTATGTCAGTGTTAACAATATATATGTTGTAGTTTTTAAGTCTGGGTGCTTGTTTAGGCTTGATTTAAAACCTGATGTAGAACTTCTGAATTTCTTGGTACTAGCAGAAATTCACGTATTTTATCATAAATGCATTTCATTATGTAAATAATATGCATACCACGTTAAAAAATGGCATTATGTTGCTCCCAAACTTTTCAATATATTCCATAACTGTTGAAAAGAAATAACTGGATTTTAGAGTTTTTCAGAAAGATATTGCTGCTTTTTTTTTTTGCGATTGTTGATTTCTTTGATGACAAGAAAGAAAACTTCTATAAGGTTATAACTTGTCTTATGACTTGTATTGCTTTTAAACTTAAAGCTGGGTTTCAGAGCAAGCCACATGAAAGCTAAAAAGTTTAGAATGCATTTCTGCAGTATATTCATTTAAAGTGAGGCACTTATGATGCTACCTTTGCGTGTGTGGAAAAAAGTCTATAAAAATGTAATGGAAGAAAAAAAAAAGTATGTTGTCTTTTTAGTGGTATTGTTTTTTCTCCCCTGCATCTGGGGATGGCTGTAGAACAGTGATAGAGCTATTGATTATCAGATAGAATTGACACACATGTGACTTCACAGAGCCTAGTGTGCAACTTTCTGCTTTTGTACCTTACATCTTGATTACTGCTGAGGGCTGATCAGTTAATTTCCATCTCTTGCAGTGTTTACAGGTAAGAGGAGAACCATTAAAAAAACTCACTTTCAGATCTGATTAAGTGTTCAGGACTTTGTCTTTGAAATTACCTCATTTGCTACCAAGCAATCTATTTTTATTTGCCCTAGGGTAGGTTTGTGTCTGATGTAATTTGGAGATTTTTTGTCACTTGGGATGTGCGGTGCAACGTGAGTGGCATCAGTTCTATTACAGCTGGTCGTATGTCTAGCAAGGAGCTGATGAGTTACGCTGCCTTTCACTTATTGGTGTCTCTCCTAAGGTTGCACCTGATGGTGACATTTGTGTACTAAAATTCATGTGGGAATTAGGTTTACCTCTCATAAAGTGCCTGCAAAACAGCCACAAGGCAGTAATTTGTTATTGCCTGCTTAAGCTGTGTCTGCAGAGGACATGTTCTAGAGGTGAAAATTCCCTTATTTTGTGAGAGGTCTCTGGAGCCCTCCCATTCCCTGAAACACAGACTACCTTACACTGTCATGCAGGATTTGTCTTCAATTCCTCTTCTTTTAACTTTAGGACATTTGTTCTACTCCTCGGTTATTTTCAAGCAATCCCCAGGATGTGCAAGTGAAACAAGGAATTTTGGGAGACTGTTGGTTCCTGTGTGCCTGTGTAGCTTTGCAGAAGAGTAAATACCTACTGAATAAGGTAGAGAGAAGTTTCATGTTTCAGAAGTTTTCTTCACCTAATTTATATTTGTATATTGTTTTTTGAATTCCAGCCCTCAAAACTGAATATCAGTTTTGTTATGCTTAATTTTACTGGTTTTGTTGTGATATTTTTTTTCTGGGATTACTACAGTTAACATTTAGCATATTTTAAACTGGTTTTGTTTAATTAAAAAAAAATATATATTTGTCTTGATTTGGGCTTTTCCCATCTAGGTAATACCTCCAGGTCAGCCCAGCTGGACAGATGAGTCATACCAAGGCTGTTTCACTTGTCGAGTCTGGCAGTTTGGACACTGGGTGGATGTAACTATCGACGATCGCTTGCCTTGCCTTGGTGGTAAACTCTGCTTTTCCCAGTGCCAGATGGAGGATTTATTTTGGCTTCCACTATTGGAAAAAGCTTACGCAAAGTACGTGAACACTGTTAGTGAGGGAAGTAAAGGGAGATACAATACTTGTGTACCTTCTGCTTCTTTATTTTATCTGACTGCTTTGGGCATAGATCTGTGTATTATTCAATATAAAGTACAACGGCTGTTAACTTTCCTACACTGCGTTGTGCAGAAGTTGCTCTTTAAACTGTAGATCTGTAAGGCGTGTTTCTAGTTGCATATGAGGTAACATAGTCCTAGGGAGAGAATTATGATGAAAAGTAAGAGCTGCAATGAATTATCAGGATTCAGATGATGTTCATTAAGTCACTATCCATTCATCATCTAATTTATTAAAGGGCAATATTTTACTACTGCAGCATTTGAGGGCAGCTGAGGGCTCAATGAAAAGCAGAAAGCATGCAAATATTATCGTGGAAAGCAATAACATTATGTAGGTTTATGCTAGTTGAGGCTCTGGTTGCATGAGTTTCATTGCTCTTTCGCTTAATTTGATAGTTTATGATTTTGAGAAGAAACAACCCTATTGTTAATCTGTGTGAAAATGCAGCTACTTCATGTTTTTATGACACACGCATCAAAATTCTGTCCAGATAGACATAACTATTTGGAGACAAAGTGCACTAGTATGATAGATAGCAATTGTCCAAAAGAACTTGGACAAAAGACTGTGTGGTTGCCAGCAGAGGGCGGAAAAAGACTTGAAATATGAAGTAATTTATTCAACTGTAGATACTTTGAGCAGAAGTTGTGAAGCAGCAATGGCACGTTAAAGCTTCTCTGTAGGTTTGAAAGTTAATATTATTTGTTTGTTTTCTGTAGAGATCTTACCATTCTATCTTGTCTTATAATTCTATTATAGTCTTGATTTCTTTTGTGATCCTTTGCATTCACTGCATCAGGTAGGGTAGTCTCTTGATTTGCTTAAACTGTTGAAGGAAGGGCTACTCTGGTTGTTTGTGCAGAGTGAACAAAGAATAATTGAAGAAAAGGAAGAAATGTTATTTGTTTATACTGAATGCAGTTAGTATATCATGAAAGATAATGTAGTGCACAGATAGTAAGGTACAAATGCCTAGTACTAGAGTAGAGCGGTTTCTATGTAAGGTGGAATGAATTGTAATAAACTTCCCATCAAACAGTGGAATGTCTAATGGCTTACATAATCTTTAGATGTTGTATTCTGTATAAATGAAATAGTATGTGCTTTCTCTTGCCTAGTTGGGAATATGAGGTAGACTACAGTCATGATTGTCATACTGGGTGGGGTTGAAAGTATGTAAGAGCCATTTAGTTCTGCTGTTTGTAGAAACTTTTTTTTTTTAATAGAGTGCATGGATCTTATGAACAGTTGTGGGCAGGACAGGTGGCAGATGCTTTGGTTGATCTGACTGGAGGAATTGCTGAAAGGTGGACCCTGAAAGGCCCTGAAAGAAACATAGAGAAAGAGAAGACTGGCATGGTTTTGGAGAAAGTGGTGTTTAGAAGATTAATGAATCTGAAGGAACAGTGTGTAATAAGCTGCTCAGTCCTCAATTCCAGACAAGGTAATAGTAAAGTTCTAGACACTTTTAAAGTAGATGTCTCTCTAACAGGGTTCAGAGCCCAAGGCAGCCAGCAAATGCATAGCGCTGATTCTAGTACCATACGAGTTTCATGGTGCAATTATATAAAACCTTGGATAAATAAAGATTTAAGGATGTTACTGAGCTTAGAAGGGAGGGTGCTTTTGATGAGTGCTTTATATATTAGATACTAATATGGTCAGTTCTTAAAAACAACTGCACACTCCTCACCACCCGAAAAAAGACCTAAGAAACAATGTTGAAAACACCAATGAATTTCAGCAGTGAGAATTTGTAGATGTTGGAGATCAAGTAGTGAGTTAATATGCTTTAAAATTTTCATTTATTTTATTACTGTATAGTAAACAACTAAAGTGAACTGTTTGGGGTTTTTTATGCTGTTTTTATGGTGATTTAAAAACAGTTTCCTTTTATCTCAAAATTGCCTTCTTTCACAGGATAGTTTAATGTCATTATTGTAAAATATGGAGCAGGTTCTTTTGTTTACTTTCAAATGCTTTTTTTTTCTATTCAGGTGCAAGTGAACTAGGAGAATTTCATGCCTTTATTGTGATAGACATGTTGAATCTATCCGAAGTGTCAGGCAAGGAAATTTTCCTGCTACGAATACGGAATCCTTGGGGGAGGCGGTGCTGGAGAGGTCCCTGGTGTGAGGGGTAAGTAGGTTTATTTTCATTTGGAAAATCATTTGTGAAAGTTCTGAAGCACAAAGTATATCTATGTATTGTATAGGCAAATATTGCTAATAGGCTATAGTGGAGGAGAGAGGCTTAAGTTTGTATATAGTCCTTTAGAGAGTTCAGTAGTTCACACAGCTCATTGGTTCTAAGGCTAGTCATTTTGATCTGTTGGTTCTGGTAATTAAATTTTTTTTAATAATTTTGTTTGTTTGTTTATCAGAGCATCATATCTTTTTGTAACTTAAGATGTTCGTTTAATTCCTGTCACTGATTTTTGTGGTGCTTTTTTGTTGTTCTGCAATTGATCTAAGTATGTTTGCTCATAAGATGTTTGTGACTTACACATAGTCACCCAGCTTTACTCAGCTCTTCTCAGCCCTTGTCTCAGTTGCAGAAGACAAGCAATAGAAAAAAAAAATCAACCAAGTATAGCAGAAGAAAGAATGCTTATGTTTTTTGCTTGTGTGCTCTCATTTCTGTAGATTAAAAGGCCTACGAGAAGCTGGAATCGAGTAGATATCAAGAAGAGATCTGTTTTAAAGGAAATGTGCAAGCATGTTTCGCATTTCATATAGCAAAGTAACAAGAATGAAAGGGCAGACCCTACTAGCTTATTTTGAAAAATGTTAGCATATTTAGACTATACAAAAGAACATGCAATTCTTGACCCAAGGAACAAGCTTTCAACATTAAAATATGGTAACAATATGATCATGTTAATAAACATTTTAGAGAAATAGAGTTTTTTCCCACTAGTTAAAAAGATGGCTTAATCACATTAATTGATACTCAAGTTGATGTTTTTTTGCTTTGGCAGAGTTTTGGTTATACACTTGATCTCTTTTAGTTTTTTTGCCAAACAGTAAATTGCCATGTAGTTGCAAGAGGAGAGCAGTTCATTGGGTGGCCTTGGAGCCCTGTTTTATTCAAGTGCAGAACTGTTCTTTGTTGTTAGTGAAACACTCAAAAATGGTGAAAGTACTAGCTTTTAATGGGCCCTAAATAATGAGGTGTTTAAATTCTTGGTTTATGATAACTTAGCCAGCAGATTCCTGGGGATAATCAGCTGCTTCATACAGACAGTGGGTTTTGATATTCACTGTACAGCACTAAGTCTTTCAGAACGTCACTGTGCAACTTGTTTCACTTTTTCATTGCTATTTTGAACAACTTCTAAAACCTTTATTCTCACACTTTGGACGGTACTGTCTGCTGTAAGCAAAGTAGCTATTTCACCTAGAAGTATGCTTCTGTATCCAGTCTGGTGTTAGATTGTTTCTAAGTTTTCTTTGATATGTTGTGATTCATACTTTCTATTATTCCTTTCAATGACTAGCGATGTGTATACAGAAATATTCAATGCAAGTATTTGACAGTAAAATGAAGAAACCTCTTATTGTCCTGCTCAATAGGATATTTGATAGAACCGTGTTATGGAACTTTACTGGGCAAAGAACTAAATGTTAACTTTTGTCTTATGCGCAGTGGTCAAGGATGGAGCCAGCTAGATCCAGCGGTCGCCTCGGAACTGCTTTCTCAGATCCAAGAGGGAGAGTTCTGGGTGGATGAAGAAGAATTTTTCAGGGAATTTGATGAGATTACCATGGGCTTTCCAGTCAATGAGGAAGGACAACTTCAGAGCCTCTATACAGGTGTGGTATGAGAAAACATCTTTTTCATATAAATACCATTATTTAACAATGGGAAAGATTGATTTGAATTGCAGATGGATGCAACTAGACCATAATTTCTCTCAGTCTTTCCCTCTCCTTTAGATCTATAAGCTTTTTCTGTCTCTGCTGGAAAGAATAGAGGGACAAGAAGAAACTGAAGATCTTTAGAGGAGTCTGATATTTCTCTGAGATCGAGTTACTTGCTAGTTTGTTGAAAGATTAGTGTTCTCTATCTAGACGGCTCTTGTTCTGTACAGCTTTGTGTGTTTTTTTTTTTTTGATGGGAGATAAACTTCAGATTTCTAGGTATAGTTTCTTGTTGTAAAAATTGTGTGATCAGTCTGCCATCAGCAGTTGTGACATTGATTCTCATGCCTCTCAAAATGTTGGTCATTAATGTTTGCTTGGAGAAATTGTCACGGCTACGACAGCATGTTTTCTTGGTCTGGGGGATCTCTACCATATAGCTGTTGTATAAAATTAAGTAGCCTCCGGTGTCTGAAGTCTGCACCATGTTTTTCTTATTTTGTTAGAGAAAGTGCTGTATTACTCGCAGAATCTTTTTGGATCCTGGGTGAGAGGCCAGTCTGCAGGTGGCTGCCGTAACAACAGCAGCTTCCCTACCAACCCGAAGTTCTGGCTGAGAGTCTGTGAAAAGAGTGAGGTGTGCATTGCTCTGCTCCAGAAGCGTAGGAAATACAGTGCTGACTGGGCCGGAAGAATTCAAAATCTGACTCACTTAGCAGAGGAAAATCTATCTTTGACTGAAGGTGTACAGGGGAAGAATTATCAGGCTGTGGGATTGCATGTCTGGAAGGTAATACAGGAGTGACATTTTTCTTTTTGCAACTAGAAGTTTTGAAGCATTACTGAACTATCTGAGTAAAATTATTCATTTCCTATGGCAGTGTTGTGATTCAACCATTCACACATTTTACACCTCTGATTTATGTTAGAGTGATCCTGTTTATCTCACAGTGCAGTTACTGTCTGTACAAACTATTAGTGGAGTAGTACTTTCTTCTTATCGTTGAGTGCCAGGTAGCAGAACTTTTGAGATTGTTCCAAACTAGTGCATGACATTTCAGGCTGATTATTTGATGACTATTCCTAAACTTATTCCTCCTGAATATTAACTCTTCCTACTCCTCTTTGATGTTCAGCTTATCTGCTGATACTCTCCTCCGTACTTGTTTCCTTTTGTAAATGTAAATGTATGCATGTTTAAAAATGTTTTAAACAGTATTTTATGATTTTTAGTTTTATTAAGAACTCCTTATTTTTCCTAAAACACCATGCACCATTGTGCATCTATTCTAGGTGGAGAAGAAACGATTTAACCTTCCAAAGACCCTCTCTGCTCCTCCAGTTGTAGGTACCATCTGCCATTCCTATGATAGAGAAGTGCACGTGTGCTGTGACCTTTTGCCTGGGTTTTATCTTGTTGTTCCCAGCACTTTCCTGAAAGATGCAGTAGGGAATTTCTTGCTCCGTGTATTTTCAACGGGAAGGATCTCTCTCAGGTAGGTTTAAAGCAAAACAGAAAATTTCTTAGTTGTTGACATAAGCAAATATATGAAGTATAGCACTAAGTGTAAATGTTCAAAATGTTTTTGAAGGGTTGTGCAGAGTACCAAGTAACAGCATTGTTTTGTCTTTGAATTCATGTAAGCAGTGTTCTGTCTCCTTGTTTTTTGCATGAAGCTGCTACTACCTCTTGTTAAAATATCAGTCAGAAGTAGTCAGATGAGTAGCATCTTGACTCTAAACTGCAGCCTACTGCTTTGAGAAAGTGCGTGTTTAGTAAAAGAGATGACTATGTTTCTGCAGAACGTGTTTCTCAGTATGTGGAAGGTCTGTCTTAATGTATGGAAAAATGAAGAGGTACCACAGAAGTTAAAGGCTGTTACTGCAATCAGTGACAGAAGAGGACAGCAGTTTATTATCATTTATGCTAGAAAACACATACTAACAGTTCAGCTGAGAGATAACATTGTTATTAGTGAGTAGGACAGCTTCAAATGGAAATGGAGTATCAGCAGTGGACTCATGACATAATACTCACAGCTCTTCTTCTTTCCAGGACAGGTGTGGAAAATGGCACTGACAGTTATGCTGTTGTCTTTAGCTGAATGAAGAATTGTTTTTTGAATTAAAGCATTCAACACTGATAATACACATGAATAATAACAGTCAGCATTATGATAAAATTCTTGGAAGGATCACTGCGTGTTGTGTTCTAGCTGATCTTTCCTCATAACTTGTGATGTAAAATAGACTTCTATAATGGACTTGGAACAATCTTATCTTTTCTTTATAAAAATGCTTGCTTATCCAACAGGAAATATCAGCAGTGTCAGTCCAGTAGCTTCTGATGACTTTCAATTTTTTTAACTGTAGCTGACTACATATCTATCTCGGCACTTGAAAGTCAATTATTCCTGAACAACTCTGTGTTGGTGACCATAGCCTTGAAATAAATACTTAAGAAGGCAGGATGATGAGTAGTTGTGTGGAGTCAGAAAAGTTGTACATTCTTCCAATAAACCTGAAAAAATCTAAGGTTGTCTAACAGCTTGCACCAGGTAAGCTATATACAGAGGCAAAATGTACTGTTGGCAACATGTTTAAAAGCTGTTCAAATTTTTTTATATTCTGGTAGTATGCTATCGACTTATATGTCATTGGAGAGAAGTTGGCAAATCATGTTACAAAGCCAGAACACGCTTTAATCATTTACTCTGCAGAATTTGGAAGCCAGAGGGCATCAAGTTTTAGACCAAATAAAGGTCTGCAAAACTATGAAGCTAATTTTGCTGTATGAGTGCAAGTTATGTACTTCTTACTGGCAATATATTTGGTTTCTGGGCATATTTCATCTGTACAGCATGTTGCACTTCCAATGATGGGATAAAATTTCTAGTATTGCTGTTAAGTATAACACTTGCTCAGACTGAAACAGAGGTGCCAGCCTGGGTATATGTCTAGAGTGGATAGTCACAGAATAACATAACAGCTGTTACATGTTCTCAACTGGAAAATTGGAAATAAGGAGAGAGATGTTTTGAGTTATGTTGAAATACAATTTCAAATGCAGCACAACTGATAATGATACAGAATTGTTCATATGGCTGTGAAAAGCGGTGCTGGGCTAGGATCGAAATATGGGTTAACATGACAGTGATCAAGTCAGAGGAAACTACCATTTTGCCTCTGATTAAAGACATAGCGAGTATGAAAAAGAATGCAGTGTATGCTTTGGTCTTACTAAGGTACTCGTGTACTCTAAAAGTTGCTGTCAGTTATATTGCTTTCAGATAGCACAAATAGCACAGGAGGAAAAATGTGTAAGCTGCATTACTTCATGAATGTACCAAAATCTATCTGGTGTTAGTGCATGGTTTGTATATGCTATATTGTTCTTGTGGAGTTCTGTGAATTACTTGAGGACTTAAAATTTTAGAGTTCTTTTTTTAATTTGTGCTGAAAGTTTGGAGGAATTGTGTTTATGTAAGTTTATGTAATGCTAGTTCATTTTTGTGAGCTGGTGTTCTAGATTTTTAAAATCATATGGATTTTATACATTTAGTTTCTTTTCTTTCTTACGTGTGATAGTGAGCTAAAACCACCACCCGTAGATGCTGCCCTCTGTGAAGAACTCCCAGCAGGTGAATGGGAGACAACGCAGCTGCATGGATGCTGGAAAAATGGGCAAAGTGCTGGAGGTAGCAGGAACTTCCCCTCCTTCCATATCAATCCGTGCTTTCCCCTCTCCATTCCTGCAGGACTAGGAAAAAGCAGTGTGAAAGTTACCCTCCGTCAGCACTGCCAAGATAGCAAGTGTCGTCCAATAGGTTTCCATATTTTCCAGGTAAGACTTCTTGTTAAGGGAGAAGCCGCTGCCTGAGCATTCACACACTAATCAAGGAGTGGTGCACACACACCACCTGGGACTTAGCTGCTAGGACTGGAGTCCTTAAGCAGTGGGCATCTCCAGTGAGCTGATGGCCGCCCCCTTTGACTCCTCGCACACGTGCTTCCTCTTCCCTCAGGCTCAACCTTAGGTGTCCCAAAGCAGAATCTCTGACATTATGTACACCAGATGAATTTATTAAGTGGTACAGTCTTTAAGAACAGCTCAAGCTGGATGCTTCCAGAGGGAGACCCCGAACAAAAGAATCCCTGAGCAATTACACCGTACAGTCTTAAGTTCCCCTGCCCTCATGAGATGGCTTGGTCCAATAGTAGTATTTGGGTCTGGGGTCTTCTTGTTCCTCACTGGATCCTATCACTGTCTCCAGGCAGGCCATTCTTTTTCTCAAGGAGGCAATTGCAGCTGATGGATGTGGCTATCTTATCTTTCTAATTAACACCAGTTTTTGGGGCCTTCCCTTATTGTAACTAAGTCAGAATTCACTATAAGTTCATCAGTATTTAGTTGAAAGTTCACCACTTGTGGCCTATTTTTACTAATGCTATAGAATGGATTCTGTTTGAACTAGGAAGTGACTCCTGTAACATTCTGGTCAGTTTGATTGCTCATTGGCCAAGTGTGAAGGTAAGCCTGTCGGTTCGTTCAGTGCTCCTTGCGCTTGGCAAGGGACATGCTGCTTCTAGAAGAAACAGGCTGATCCTGTGAAGTAATGCCTGCGAAAGATACGGAAAACTATACACCAGGTATCACAGTAACCAGATAATTGGTTCCATTGAATTCTTGCAACATTCTAAAGTAGGCTTAGAAATTATTAACTCTTTTAAGCATTTGTAAAGCATTCTCAGTCTTAGTGATTGAGGACTGGACATTTTGGTAATTGATCATGAAAACTTACTTTCTTCATCTCTAATAATTATTTACTTGTCTGTTGGCAAGTGGCATTGGAGCCGCAGACAAGATTAGAATTCGAAAGGACTGATAATGTTGAGCAGATGATCTGAAACAAAACAAGATACAATTTAGCATGGACAAATACAGGTTCTACATGTATGTGCCAGAGATCAATTGCATAAATGTAGGATGAGAAACTTCTGCTTAGGTGGCTATTTTTCAGGGAAAAATAACTTTATTTTCAGAAAACATGCATCAAAAAGTTGTTGCTTAATTGGAGAGTGTGGAGTTGAGCATTAGGAGTGATCACATAGCTTCAAATATACAATATGTGAAGAAAGATTGAAAGAATGGTATTTTTCATGCCATTCATAGGCTGGGGAGAAATCTAATATGAATTTTTAGTACAGGAAAGGCCCCTAGAAAGTGGAAGGACATAGTGTGCTTACTGTATGCGTGAGATGAAAAACAAGGGCATTAGGCTGCAGTGAGGAAGAGTGAGGTTAGACAATAGAAAAAGGTTTTGCACTATGTGGGTAGTGAGTGTATAAACTGTCAATAAACATGGTAGGAATGATGTACTTGTACTTGATACTGTATCTGGGTTTTCTGGAAGCCTTCCCATGCCTCCCATAGAGCTCTGTACAGAAGAGTGAGTATTTGGAGTGGTATAGTTACAGAACATACCATACTGTGGAATTTAACATTTTGAGGTGTGGAATATATGAAAAGACAGGCATGTTTTCATTCTTTTTTGCAGGTGCCTAGCAGCAGCTGGAAACCACATACTTCCTCATTTCTACACTTGGAGCCACTGGTTAGCTGTGTACCTCATTGCTATTCCCAGGAAGTAAGCCAACTTTGCCGACTTCCTGCAGGAAGTTATGTAATTATACCTTCCACGTACTTGCCCAATACAGAAGGCAATTTTACGGTGGTCATAGCAACCAAAATAGATAGGTAAAAAATATATTGTCTACTATTTGCATTTCTAGTATTTTTAGTGCATGCATTACAGGATGTTTGGAAACAATAACTGTAGTGACATGTTCTCACTTTTGGTAGAAGATCGTTATTTTTTTTTAAGTCTGTATTGCTGTTATGTTTGCAAGTACTGCTTACCACTTTGACTGTGTTGGAAGAACTAGTGGAAAAAAAAAAAGTATTTGTAATCTTCCTGCATGAATTACTGAATAACAGATGTCTGGTACAGCAACTGAATATCAGCTATGTCCAGATATTAGGATTTATGTTGAAATTTTACTAAACTTTTTAATAAATAGGGTTGTTTTTTGAGAAGCTGCAATCTGTTGCAAGCCTTATTGCAGGTAGTTTCTCCTGATGAGAATAACAACAGGCCTGAATCAGAATTTGTAGATTCCATAAGGTTGCATTAAGAATCCAGAAAATTGCATCAAGATTTCATAAGCATGTGGAACAAAGCCTAGCATAACAATCTCCTTTTGAAGTGGGACAAATTATAAATGTTTACAAGATCCCCCCAGCACTTTGTGCAGCAGTAAGTGTGGTTTTGGTTTTCAACAGGAAGCGCATTCACAGCCGGGAGACACTTGGACAAGTATTGCAAGAAGTAAGTGATACACTTTTAATTGTAGTTGTTCTAAAGGTGTCACAGAGGCATCATCGAGGAGGCATATATATTAACTAATATCAAGAGTCATGTACTAGTGGACTGGACTTTGAATGTTCTCATTTACTTGCTGCAAACTGATGATCACCAATGCAGTTAATCTTTGATCTTTTTTGTTTGTTTCTCAGACAGAAAAGTAGCATTTGTTAGCAGCTGACAAAATTTGTCTTTTCATACCACTCAGATATCTGGAAGCTTCTGTATGACTATTTTCTAAAGTCATTCTTTACTCCCTCAAGTCATTCCTCAGTACCTACCTCTGCTGTAACATCTGTGAGACTATCAGTGATGAGTAGTTGGTTGTACTTGACTTTTACATTTGCTTTCCGGAGTGTAAGCACTCTTTATGTATTTGGATATATTTTGATGTATTCATTCCTGTTGTCACCATAGATCTGCGACCTTTAATTATATATTGTACCTTTCCTCCATCTGATTGGCTTTGATATTAATTTGGGATCCTATGTATTGCGATTTAGAAATTCTAATGATATAATGTTGTAAAGACTTAAGAAAACACAGCGAAAAGAGAGAAAAAGGAAACGGGCAATTCAAAGATTAGCTTTCACCATGCTAGAGTTTAGTTTTTATTTCCTTACAGCCAGCCCTTGTAGCATCCTACTGGTATAATCCTTGGTGTACAAGCCACTCTGATCAAGTTAATACCACCTATTTAATATTTTGGTATGGTGTTTTGCTTGATTAGATATGCATGTAATATTGAAGGGTTGGATATGAATGCTGAGTTCATATACACAATACTTAGGATATTTTTACTGGGTGGAGAGGAGAACTTTGTATTATTTTAACAATTATTTAAAGAGATCTGATTTGGTTGGTGGATCAAAGCATGCCCTTGATAATACTCTGCTTATTAGGTGAGAACAAGACCATCTAGATACTTGGCTCTTTCCCAACAAAACAAAAAATTTTAGGAAAAACTCTTCACCTGAGATTAGAACTGATTTACTAATTTTCTTAATCTAGGTCATGTTGACCGATGATTACGTTTTGTCCTTAAAACCACACAGACAGTATGGATGTTGTGTACTTCACAAAAATGGGCAAAGACCTGTATGTACTTTCCTCATGGTGCTTGTTATTTTAATATTTAGGAGCTGAAGTATGTAATGAAGTCCATTGTTGCTGTTTTGGAAACAAAACATTGCAAGGCCATTATTACAGAAAGAATATATTTAAAAATATGTTTCTTACATTATTCCATGAAAACCGTTGGACTTGGACAAAGGGTGCTCCCTCTTATCAAGGGAGCAAACAATTTAGATTCTTCAGGACTTGAAAACTTGAAGAATTTGGAAATGGCAGTTATAGTTTTCTTATCAGTGGCAGAAATGAACATTTGCATCTAAGCTTCAACAGCATAGGCTTTTCTAAGGACAGGACTTTAAATCATTCAGTGGTCTCAGGGGTTTAACCTCTGAAAGATCTAGGCAGTCTGCCTTACTGAGAAGCTGGGGTATTGATTTCTAAGGGGTGCAGCACAGCAGAGCTGGATGACAGTCTATTTTTCTAAACGTTTGTCTATGTGTTTTCTAATTACTGAAGTGATAGGTTTTACGAGTTTTAGTTTTTTTTAAGATGTTTCACAGGAAAAGCTTGCATTTTGTCCTTGATTTCTAAATCTTTTATTTTCTCTGATTAATTCCTTATGAATTTTTTCTCTTTCTTGAAAAAAAGTTAACTCATGAAATAGCTTTTTTTTCTGCATTGTTCATTTTCTTACAGATTTCATTTACAACTGTGATGAAAAGGTAATCTAGGATTCTCACACTGTCATTTCGAGAAACATCAGAAAGCCGAGGAATGCCTCACTTCTTGCTGTTTTCAGTTTTAAATGGAATAACAAGAAGATACTCTTAGCCCAGCTGTTTTTCACTGGCACCAACTGTCAAGCCTACAATGATTTCTTTGTAAAAATACCTCCTTAATCATGTACACTCTGAATATCTGTTCTTCCCATGTTTTTTAGAACCAGCATTATACAGCAAATCATAATGTACCTCAGTTCTTCAAAAATACAGGTGAAGAATATGTGCATGTTTTAACCTGGACTACAGTTTTGGAAGAAAACCAGAAAACATATGTGCAAAACGAAATTGGTTTTTTTTTTTGGTTTTTTTTTAAATTAAAAACCAAGCCTACAGAATAACTTCAGGAGCCTAAAGGGGTAAATGTAGAGGAAAGAAACTGGAGTCTTTTTTCAGGTAGGACATACCTCAAGAACCGTCAAAATACACTGGAGTAGAGGAAGTCCAAGCTTGTATCCTACACTGCCAGTCATGCTGCTGAGCACTTTATCATGGGCCCTTGATTGAACCATGCAAATGGTGGGTTGAAAAGAAAGATTTTTTTTTTTTGGTGAGTCTTTTTTAATGAACACCACAAAGGAAAAAGATAAGACTTGAAAACTTCTGTTTATGAACTATCACGTCAGACTGCTTTTGTAAATCTGTAAGAATGTTTTATGCAAGATCTGCTCTCACTGTAAGAAATAGGAAGTTTAAGAGATTTTTCTTAATTTATGTTTGAAAGTATTTCTTATTCAAGGAGGATTTTTCAGATGTTATATTTTCCTCAGCAAAAATGGAGTAAAGTTGAAAGTTTTTAGAATGCCTTTTATTAAAAAGGTGAAAACTGTCAATGGTGTCAAGTCTGCATTTGTTCTTCAATAGCAAATTTTACAGTGTGTTAGAGCCCTGGGGTTTCACCAAATGAAAGGGAATAATTGGAAATATGTGAGAAGAGAATCAAGTCTTCCTTTAGTTTTATGTCTGAGCATTCTATTTCTGCTTTTAGTTACAACCTAACGTAGTTTATGCTTTCTCTTGTTGAACTTTGAAAATTGAAAGCATCTAGGATGCTTGCAGTTGAATTTTAAGTGGTCAAAACTTTCCACTGTTGTGGAATGATGAGACAAAAGAAAACACAGTGAGTAATAAATCTGTACTGTGCCTGCTTTAACAAAAGTTGGCATCTTTGTGCCTTTCCTTTCAAAAAGGAAATTACTGGATGGTATAATAGTGTTTCTAAACAGAAGCAGGAAAGGTTCATGAAATCACATAGATCTGAGAGTTGCAGAAAATAGGAATTGGATACTGAGGAAGTAAAGAAAAAAGGTGTAAGGATTTCTAAATGGTCTATGATTATAAGAGGCCCCATTCTGCAATCATTTATGCATGTGTGAAGTTTATACTACAATATATAATGCTTTATGGGAGTGTGAAAGGAAGAGGAGTCAACACTAAGCGTGTATACTTTGTAACCTTCTGCAAAAGGATGTAAGAAAAGACCTGTGAACACAGAGGAGTAGTGAAATACTGAATATTTTCTTTTTTTTTATTCAGGCATCCTTGCTGCATCAGAGCAGTTTTGCTGTTTTAAGAGTGTGATACCTGACTGAGTACATATGCAGGAAACTGCTTGATACAGATCACTTCTCTAAAATCCTGCATCTAAGTCATTGCTACTGTGAGTGTGAAAATCTGTTTTTTTGGTAATATATACAAGTACACAATAAGATGCCTAAGATGCGATTACATTAGCTTTGTCAAGTACACTTAATTTAAAAAAGCTCAACTATATGAGGTCAGGCCTCCTAAATAAAAACACCCTATATTAATTTGCTATATTGAGCTACTTACATTTGAATACAATTGAGATAGTGGCATGTGTTTTTAAAATACTTGCAATCATTGACTGGTTGAAGTCCCTCTTTGTAGTGTGTTGCAGACTAGCGTGGAATAGCACAGAGTTTATATGGATGTGGCTGCAGTATCGCACCCAAAATGTACTCCAGATTGATTTCCTTGACTCCCTCAGGGAGCTGGAATGTGAATGCCCGAAGGAGGTTGGTAAAGAAGATGAAGAGTTCAACTCGTGCCATTTGTTCCCCCAAACATACACGGTGCCCTGCAGAAGAAAGGGAAAAAAAACTTAGTTGTATAGACTAAGTTCTAAAAAAGAACTTCAAACAAAATTCTACTGAGTTGATAAATTCTGTTAATGTAAGGTAATTATTTCCTAGTTCCTTCTGTAAGGACAGAAGATGCCTTTGGAGGTGGGAGGAAACATTTATTTAACTGAGAAACTGTACATCTCTATGTCAACTGTTTGGTTTGTGGTTTTGTTTGGATTTGTTTATTTGTTTTCTTCCCC